GTGAGCGGGGGCGCCGAGCGCGGACGCGCGGGGCGCGGGCAGGGGGCCCGGGGTGGGGGTGGGGGGCGCTGCGTCTGGAGCGCTGGGGCGGCAGCACCCGGCGGGCGCCCGGGAGGAGGAGGCGGCCCGGAGGTGAGCGGCCAGGCTCGCGGGGACGCCACTGGCCCGCCCGGGAAGCCCTTCCCCCGCCTCCCCCAGCCCCCGGTGGACCCTGGCCCGGTCCACACTGGCCCACCCCTCCCTCCTCCGGCTTCGCCGCCTTTCTCCTCGAAATTCCTTCTCATTTGGGGGGTAGGGGGGAGCACGCAATAAGGACCCAGGACCTGGGCCATTTGTGATCCAGCGTGGATCTGTACGGACGTCTGCGAGAACCCCAGACTCCCTAACCCCCACCCCGCCATGGAGGCCCCAAATTGGAGAAGGTCGTCCCTGCCCCCGCGGGCTGGCGATGCAGGCCTTGACCAAAGGAGCCGAGGGTCCTGGCCTGTGGAGAGGTTCTGGAAAGGGCCCATTCCGTGTTCGGCGGGGAGGGGCTGCAGATCCGTGTCCCCTCTCTGGCCAGGCCGTCACGGGTACCCCCACCCCAGGGTGCTCAGCTGGCCTCTGCAGAATAAAGACCATCCGCCCGCCTGCTGCAGAGGCAGCAGCGGGTGCTGGGGGAGGGGCTGGCACTGCCAGGCTGAGTGCAACCAGCCTCCCTCAGCCTATCTGCCCACCTTGGTGGGGAGGGGTACCTAACAGTCTGGCCTGGAGCAGAGGGGGCGATGATGGGCCGACGATGCGCCCAGCCCCCACCAGGTCACCCCTACTGGGAGAATTTTCCTCCTGAGTTCCTGCTGCAAGCTCTTACTAGCTTCTGCCCTGGGCGGGGGGGGGGCGGGCGGGGGGCCCGGGGGCCCCCGGGGTTGGGGGGTCGGGGGGGGGGGTCGCGGATCCTGCAGGGTGGAGGAGGGAGGTGGCCAGATCTAATGCAGTGTCCACAGGGGTGCCGCTTGGGGTGAAGGTGGGGGTGCTGCAGGCCGGGGGAGCAGCTTCATGCTCAGCATGAATGTCTGAGGGTCCATCACTCCCCGCCACCTCCCTCAGACCTTCTTGCTTCTAGGGCAGCTCAGGGAATGAGTGTAGCATGCAGTGTCCCCACCCTGCTCAGGGAGGACAGATGTCCCATGAATTCACTCCCCAGAAGCTTAATAAGCACCTGCCTAGGTAGGGCAGATCATGTGACCAGGAGCTGGGAGTCAGTCCTGAAGTCTGACTGAATACCTCCCGCTGCAGGCAGCGAGGGCCCCAGGAGAGTTGCTGGGTGGCTTCTAGTCCCCTGCTGCCCTGGGCCCTTGGGAAGGCTCCTGTGCCCCAGAGGCTGCCTCCAGGAACAGTGGGTTCCATGCATACAGATGCCGAGAGATGCTTGAAGTGATCCTCTGCTCCAGGTCCCTACCCGGAATCCTCTCCTCTCCAGCTGAGGCTGGCCAGCTGGTCCAGATGTTTCCAGTGGACAGAGAGCCCAAGGGGCCGTGAAAGCCAGTGGGTGCAGAAAGGAGAGGAAGCGGAGCCAAACCCATAGCGAGAGGAACGTGGGTCAGACTCTGACCACGAGGACTGCACGGGCTGAGGCCACCTCTGTCTGAACCCGTCCAGGCAGTGACTGGTGGGTGCCCCGGGATGGCCCAGGTGTGTGGCATGGGGCACAGTGAGCAGAAGTCCTGCAGATCAGTAGGACTAGAACAAGCCAGGAAGGAACAGAGGAACCTAGATTTGTAGGGTCCCAAACATGCCCTCTCAAGGACCGACGTGCTGGGACCTCCCACCCCAGGCTCTGCCCAGACTCCTATGACCTGGGGGTGCAGGGCCCCCACCCCACCGTCTCCCAGGCACACAGCCTCCCCAGACCAACTTGGCTCTGCTTGGCCTTGCCATTGACTCCTCCCGGGCAGAGTAAAGGCCAGCTTGGGTCCTGTTGCATTCACCTCGGGGAGAGGGGGTGGGGGGGCGGGTGAGAGCATTTGGGGATCCCTGATGAGAACAGATGGGGGTAAATGAGCTGAGCTGGTGTGAGCCCCCTACTAGTCTCTCTCCTGGCCTCTCAGTTTCTGCCTCCAGAGGTGCTCCTGGTCACAGTGAGCTGGACACATCAGCATTGTGGGTGCCCCCGCTGCCAGCTCTTCCCGAGGGCCTGCCTATGTGTGCCAGGCACCACTTGAGTTGGAGACACCACTCTGAGCGAGAGCCACGGGCCACCCATGGCAGACAGTCCTGACGGTGGTCTCCGGAGGTAGTGAGTTCCCCATCACTAGGTGCTGAGCAGAAGGTACCCTGGCGAAGATGCCTTCTGTTGGGGGTCTTCTGGCCACACACATCTCTTGCTCAGGGACAAGAGGGTGCCCCGTGGAGGCCCTGGGAGCCAACAATGTGACAAGATCTTGGAGCTGGCTTCTGGGGTTTCAGGGGATTTGGCACGCAGAGGGCGCACCGGTGACCATGTGTGTGACCATGCACACACATCTGTGTGTGAGCGATTGCATGAGGGGGTGGAGTGGGTTGTGGGAAAGAGGTGAGCACTGTGCGGACAGTGTGCAAGGGCACGTTCCGACTCACGCGGCAGTGGACACACAGCACAGAAGCCAGGCCGCGCTGTGTACCTGACCTTTCAGAGGAAGGGGGGCTGCCTGCGGCCTCCTAGGCGGTGCCCACCCAGGTGGGGAGGGGCCTCCTGCCTTTGGACTGAGAATTGCTAAGTGTCCTAAGCAAGGAGCCCTTTGACAGGGGTCTAGGGGGCTGTGCCCCCCTCCCACTGCCACCCAGCCTCTGGAATAGCAGGTGATGGCTGCTGTCTCCCCTCAGTTCCCAAGAGTGGAGTCTGGGCTGTACCTGGGGCGGGTGCTTGAAACTGGGGAGGCCCAAGAGCCTGCAATATCTGTTTTCCCTGTGCCCACCTGGCCCATTCTAGCCCCACTTACCTGCTCAAGACTGTCCTAAGCTTTCTCCACCCCCGACTGGAGTTCTGGGCTCGGATCCATAGCACGACAGGGGAGGGTCTGCCCCCAGGAGCTTTAGCCCCGAGGAGGCCCTGAGAGGTCTTGCAGGAGGTGCACTTGGGCCAGACCGTGGCCCCTTGAAGGCTCCCTGGAGGCGGGAGTGAGGTGCTCCGTGGGTGCCCTTGGCAAGAAAGGTTAGGACCCGGTGGAGCAGAGAGGGGAGGGCCTGGAGTAGTGTCACCCCTGGGCTTTGGGACTCGTAGGGACCCGGCCCCCTGGTCATCCCAGGCCCCAGCTCCTGGGCACCTGCAGGAAGCAAGGAGCGGGCCCTGCTGTTCTGCAGAGCCAGCCTGCTCCGTAGCTGTGCCGCAGGACCAGCGTTGCCTGGCACCTCCGTGGTTGCCATGGCAACGACGGAGGTGCTAACTTGCTAATGGGTCCCCCTCGGCTGCAAATAACAATACTAGAGCGGTTCACCGGCCAGAGCTGGAGGGTTCCCTAGGGGCTGGGGCTGAGACCAGGTACTGGGCCTGGGAGCCCAGCGGCTCCCCCTTCCAGCCCCGGTCCCTGTCCTGCAGCCCAGCTCAGCTCCTCCACACCCTCCTCTCATCCTGAGCCCGCCTCCCTGCCTGTCCTACGGCCCTCAAGCTGTCCTGAAGCTTCTCAAAACACCTCATACAGGAATCGAATTGGGGACCCCTCATCACCCAGGCGGGGACACCCCTCAGACGGGCCCCCCTGGGCAGGTGGGGAACCCCCTTTGCAGACAGGCCCCCCGCCAGCGAGTGAAGACCCCCCTCAGCAGGTGGGGCGCCCCTTTTGGCAGATGGGCCCTTTTGCTGTTGAACTGGTTTCATACGGCCCTCAGGATGACCAGCAGCCCCAGCTGCACCCCTAGGCCCTGCCCCCACAGTGGAGGAGCCCGGGTGCCTGCCTGGGGAGCAGGGTGTCTGTGAGTGGTATCCCAAGGCCCCGCCCGCTGACCGGGGCCATCCCGGGCACTTCCCTCTGGGCCAGCAGACACGGTCTACACCTGCCGTGCTCCTGTTTCTCTGTGAAGTCTCCCACCCACACCAGCCTGGGAGCTCACCTGAGGGGGTGGTCCAGAAATGGCCGCAGCTGCCACTGTTGTCCCCAGGGCCATCATCACTGAAGTATGACAAGTGTCCTCAGGGGGCCCCCCCGCAGCAGCATCTGCAGCTGCAGGTTGGGGGCGTGCTGAGGGGGTCCCCTCTCTGAGCTCCAGGGTACGTCTGTGCCCCAGCCTCTCCTGTGTCCGAGCTGGGTGGGGCTGTGGTAGAGGGAAGGTCCCGACTGAATGGCAATGGTGGAGGCCTTGGGTTCTATCCAGTGTCCTTGGTGTGACCTTCGACTGGTCCCACCCCTCCCCTGAGCCTCAGTTTCCCCCCTTCAAAGGAAACTCATCA